CGTCCTGCTGCTGGGAGGGCGGCCCTGGCCCCGCCTCGGGGCCCCTGAGGGCTCTACAGGGCCCGCCCCGCTGCCAGGAGTGGGGCACACTTCCCCTAACGCTACCCCACGACCCGCAGCGCTCCTCGACATGTGGTTAATGCGCCCTAACCCAGAGCAGATAAACCATCACACAATAGCGGCAGAGCTGGATGTCCCAGTGCCGGTGGTGGCACAGGCAGTGTACCCCTGTGCTCACCCCATCCCAGGTGTTCTCTGCCACCAGCTGCCAGCAGAGACAGGGACAGGGCAGGTAGCACTGCTGAGCTCTGTCTCAGCACCAGGAGCCACTGAGGTGCTTCATGATGACCTCTTGGGACACTTGCCAGGGGTGTGTGCTGCACATCCTGGGAGAGAAACTGGGATGAAGCATCCCCCTTGTGCCACCCGAGGACACAAAGCATCCCAAAGCTGCTTCATCTCTATCACATGTCATTCTACTCCATGGGGTGCTGGAGCAAGTCTGACACTTCCACAGGTGCCAGAGAGCTCTTGTTTCCTCAGACTGGATGTCAACCTGAAAGGGGGCGGGGGGGGGGACACACACATGGCTGGAGCCATAGCCGTCAGGCAGCAATGCCACTCAATTACAGAATGGGCCACACTTTGAGAGGCCTTAACATACCCTAAAAGCTTTGAGATTTTTTGGCAAGGGGAATAGAGAAAAAAAACCCAACAACCCACCTCAAAAGCACTACACAAACAAAACCACCACCCCCCTCCAAAAACACAAACCACAACCAAAACACCACAATAAAACACCACCAAAACAAAACAACCAACCACCACCCCAAAATCAAACAAAAAAAAAGAGCATTAGCCAAAGCATGTTTATAAGGAAAAATAATTTCCCTGCAGGGGAGGGGAAGAGGCTCCCCAGAGCCCTAGGCAGCCTGGCAGAGGGGTTTCAATCCTGCCTCTCCCCACCCCTGCAGAGCTGAACAGGCAGAGGGAAGAGGTGAGAGGGGTACCATGACTGTGCAGGGTGACAGGCCACACTGGGTGCTTTTCCTACCATCCATGGTCACCTTGGAAAGCCTCTGTCCACTTGGAGGTGTCCATGAAGATGGATGAGGAGCTGTGGAAGAGCCAGAGGCATGGCAGGGAGCCCTCCCGCGTCCAGAGGTCCTTGGTGCAGTCATACACCTCCATCTCCACCCGGTAGTCCCCATCCATGCCCTTCCAGTGGCCGCCTGTGACAAAGAGCCGGTCGCCCAGTGCCACCATCCCACCGTTCTCATGGAGTGTGTGGAGCAGCTGCACCTGTGGAGGGACAGGGCGAGATGCTCAAGGACCATCCCAAACCCCCCAGGGTTGGGGCTGCTGCAGGGAACAGGGGGTCTAGAGGGCAGAAGGGCCAGGCTGGATTTTTCCGGATTGCACAGGCAGGAGCCTTGCACACTCTGTATAAGGGGGGTGCTGGAAAAAGCGGGGGTGTCCTGTGGGGCTTGTGCAGGTTGAATGCCACTTAAAACCATTAACTCATGGTGACATCCATGCTCCTAAGTGCAGGTGAGGAGATGGAGTAGTGAGGGAAGGACTGGGGCAATTTTGGCTCTGCAGGGGTTAATAGAGCCGAGGGACAAGTGGGAGGAAGAGAGGGGGTTCTGGCACCCAGTGGGAGGGGGTGCAAAGGTATGGTTGTGGGGTGCTAGCAGGGAGAGAACAGCTGCCCCAGCTCCCTGGGAGGGTAACTGTGCCCAGTCCTCTATCCCTCTACCTTCTGCCAGATGTTGGCCTCTGGGTTGTACACGTAGACCTTCTTGGTGTTGTCCCCAATGAGGTAGATGAGCCCACGCAGGGTGGCACAGCGTGGTGCTGACAGGTACTTGGGGATGAAGGGAGATGTGATCACACTCCACAAATCTGCAAGGAGCAGCCATCAGCAGTGCATCCCACCCTGGGCTCTAGATGCAGCTGCCAGTGACCAAAAAAAGCACTGCCAAGCTCATGGCTATTTAAGGGGCAGTTTAAAAGGGAGGGGACAGAGAGGCTGGGCAGGATTGTACCCACGGTCCCCACCCCACACAAGAAGCTTGCATAAAAAAAAAGTGGGGGAGCTAGTGTTGGCAGTGGTGGTGTGGGATGGGGGAGACCACCGCAGCTTGCAGAGGCTGCCCAAGGAGGTGGCATTGTCACAGGGCTTAGTTTCTCTCTTAGGCAGACAGCTTCCCACATCCCCCTGCCCCATGGATCCTGATCTACTGAAGCTCAGGTCTGGACTGTGCTGAAGGGCTGTGACTCAGCTCTGTGCTGCAGACAGCTCTGCTACTGGCTGGCCCTGGCCCCACGCTCCCATTTAGCACCTAGTGGCATCCTGTGGGACCATGCCTGGTGGCACACGATGCCCACTTGCCTCGGGATCCCCCTCAGTCCTGCTCCCTGGGAAGGCATTGATTGGTAGGTTTGTTGGCAGTGGGGCCACCTCTCACCTTGGACAGGGTTGTAGCACTGCAGGGTGAGGGCATTGTACTTGACAGCGCAGGAGCCCACCAGGTAGAGCTTGCCCAAGCAGCTGGCAGCTGCAGAGCCTTGCACACTCTGTATAAGGGGGGTGCTGGAAAAAGCGGGGGTGTCCTGTGGGGCTTGTGCAGGTTGAATGCCACTTAAAACCATTAACTCATGGTGACATCCATGCTCCTAAGTGCAGGTGAGGAGATGGAGTAGTGAGGGAAGGACTGGGGCAATTTTGGCTCTGCAGGGGTTAATAGAGCCGAGGGACAAGTGGGAGGAAGAGAGGGGGGTTCTGGCACCCAGTGGGAGGTGGTGCAAAGGTATGGTTGTGGGGTGCTAGCAGGGAGAGAACAGCTGCCCCAGCTCCCTGGGAGGGTAACTGTGCCCAGTCCTCTATCCCTCTACCTTCTGCCAGATGTTGGCCTCTGGGTTGTACACGTAGACCTTCTTGGTGTTGTCCCCAATGAGGTAGATGAGCCCACGCAGGGTGGCACAGCGTGGTGCTGACAGGTACTTGGGGATGAAGGGAGATGTGATCACACTCCACAAATCTGCAAGGAGCAGCCATCAGCAGTGCATCCCACCCTGGGCTCTAGATGCAGCTGCCAGTGACCAAAAAAAGCACTGCCAAGCTCATGGCTATTTAAGGGGCAGTTTAAAAGGGAGGGGACAGAGAGGCTGGGCAGGATTGTACCCACGGTCCCCACCCCACACAAGAAGCTTGCATAAAAAAAAAGTGGGGGAGCTAGTGTTGGCAGTGGTGGTGTGGGATGGGGGAGACCACCGCAGCTTGCAGAGGCTGCCCAAGGAGGTGGCATTGTCACAGGGCTTAGTTTCTCTCTTAGGCAGACAGCTTCCCATATCCCCCTGCCCCATGGATCCTGATCTACTGAAGCTCAGGTCTGGACTGTGCTGAAGGGCTGTGACTCAGCTCTGTGCTGCAGACAGCTCTGCTACTGGCTGGCCCTGGCCCCACGCTCCCATTTAGCACCTAGTGGCATCCTGTGGGACCATGCCTGGTGGCACACGATGCCCACTTGCCTCGGGATCCCCCTCAGTCCTGCTCCCTGGGAAGGCATTGATTGGTAGGTTTGTTGGCAGTGGGGCCACCTCTCACCTTGGACAGGGTTGTAGCACTGCAGGGTGAGGGCATTGTACTTGACAGCGCAGGAGCCCACCAGGTAGAGCTTGCCCAAGCAGCTGGCAGCTGCAAAATTGCTGACGTACTTGGGGGCTGGGCTGATGGCACACCAGCTCTTGTTGTAGGGGTCATAGCGCTCCACCTCCACGGCATCCACCGTTGTCCCTGCAGGGTGGTGGGACACTGCAGCCACCCCACTGCTCTGGGGCACCCCTGGACCCCTGCCCCAGCAGTGCTTGTGGGGTTGTTGCAGCCTTACCCCCAATAACATAGACCTCGCCATTGAGGACGGCGCTGGTGTGGTTTGTCCGGGCTCTCAACATGGAAGCAATGGGCTTCCAGGCCCCGTCCTTGAGGCAGAAGCACCAGGCCTGGGTTGTCGACCATGTGTCATTTTGGGATCCTCGGGAGCCACCTAGGGAGGGATGGTTCATGTGGGCCACACCCTCTGAGCACAGCCATCCTTGGGCATCCTTTGCCAGTGGCTGGCTCCACCCAAGCGAGAAAGGCGAGGACTTTGCTCAGAGAGGGCAGCCCCTGGCTCCGTGCCAGAACCCCATACCCGTATCTTTGTCCTCCATCCCCACTCCTTGGGGACACCCCACCCTGCACCAGCAGCCCCAGCACCTACCTGTGACATACACATCATTGTTCAGAGCCACCAAGGAAAAGCCCCATTTGTTGTAATCAGGGAAGTCGGGCAGTGCCATCCATTGCCCTGAAACCCAGCAGAGAAAGGAATGATGCTTTCAAGCCAGCCCTGTTTCACTCTTCCCTCCCCCCCCAGCGCCCAGTGCCCCTCCTGACACCAGATTGTTTGGCAAGAGGTGGCTTTGGGGTAAACAGAGAATTAAACGACATGTGGGGGCGCGGAGGGTGTGGACTTACCCTCCCCCTGCTGTGGGCACTTACTGCTTTTGGGGTTGTAGAAGGCAAAGTTCCTGGGTGTAGCCGGCATCTCGAGCTCCCCCGCCTCATCCTCGCTCTCCTCCAGCATACGGCCACAC